GGAGTAATTTCTGCAGTTGTAGTCTCTACCTTGTTAATTGGGATTGGAGCCAAGTGTCTGCAGCTGTGACCTTATCTTGCCCTTTGAGGTATCTCTGGCCTCACAGGTCACTACAGGCCTCAGCCAGGACCAGTGATTCATAGAGGTTCATTTACTATGAATCAGCTCCCATCACCAGGCAAGGGGCCTAGGACAGACTCACAGATAAACATAGAAAGCCAATAAGTAAAATTTAAATCCTGCTCAGTCACTTTGTAGTGGCCTCCAACAACCTCCTGTCCCATTTGTGAATACCATAAACTCCAAAGAAGACTACTATTGCATCCTCAGGCTGCAAGGCATGGCCTTGCATCTGCTTGGGGAGAGGCACCCCACTTGGGATGCCTTTGCTTTGGAGGAAGCTGCTTTTCTAGTTGCTGCCCTGTGTGGTGTTTGTATGAGACCTTCTTGATCTCTTGTCAGCAGTTTTTTCCTCACAGTGATGTGAAATAGTAGAGAGTCAAGCTTTCCAGCACATGTTAGACTAAACTTGAACTTTGGAGTAGACTTGACAAGTGAACAGCTACGTTCTCTGCGTCACGTATCCAGAGCTTTGTCCTACCCTTTTCTGATGTCTCCTACGTGGTACTGATATTTTCCTTGTGTATTTTTTTCTGCTTTGCTTTGGTTGTATATTGTTGACTTTAATGGAAAAGAGTTTTTATTTTCACTTTAATTATTTGAAAGGGTGAATTTAAGGTATCAATGGCCACGTTACACAATCGACAATTTTATAACCAAGGGTTCCACTAAAGTGGATATTTAACTGCATAAAAATAAAGTAGTTAGAATCCTTGAAAAGTTGAGCCAGTTACTGTACAATATTAGGATGTGTTTTCAGTTATTTGCATTTATGACAGTGATGTTTTTCACAAATATGGATGAAATGCTGTTTTTACTCATTCTTTGCCAAGATAATTAGTGGATTTTATTAAAATGTCTGTAGTTTATGACAAAATTTCATGCCTTCGTGGTAGAAAATTAGCCAACACACAAAATGTTGAAATGTTTTAGTTATCATCAAAATACAGTAAACTTAACATTTTGGTATATTACCTCTCACATTCCTTTTCCTTAATAGCATTTTTGCATATCATGCTTATGTAAGCTTATGCTTTAAACAAAGCTTTACAGCACTTAGAATTTATAATTAAGTTAGAGGCCTCAAGTGTGGAAGCATCTGGTGAGGAGACATGGACACTTTTAAGGCTTATCTGCAAGTGCTCCCGTGGGTTCTCATTCTTACCTGCAATACATGAAATTGCATGGTTTTTACTACTCCTTTGTCAGTACTTTTCAACAAATATCTAATGCACACCCCGATTTACCTAGAATCTTGATACGTGATGGTAAACAGTGTCACTCCTATTTACTTAACACTTTGCTATATAGTGGTGAATAATACTGCACGCTTTAGTTTCGTTTTGTATTAGTACCTATTTGTGGTACATGCACTTTACAGTCACTTTGGAGAGGGGCACACGTATAGAAGTCACCTTGATCCTTTTGGAATCCCTTTCTCCCCTGCCTCCCTCCCTCCTTTTCCAATTCCTCTTTCCCTGTTACATCTTAATTTCCTTATGAAACTTACAATCCATAGAAGGCATTAATTGTACAGTTGTACAAACAAAGAGAAACTATTGTTATGAATTATAAAGTGTAGTATTAGCATCTGTTTAGTAGCAGTAGTCAGAATATAGATGCAGATTGTGCACTTTTTCCCATATTTTCAATGTATTGAGGCTGTTTCAAAATTAAATGATTTTAATATTTCAAAATACGTTTTGTTTTGTTTTGTTTTTTCTTTTTGAGATAGGGTCTTGCTATGCAGTTCAGGCTGGCCTTGAACTCATTTTGTAGCCCAAGCTGGTCTCAAACTTGCAACACTCCCTCCTGCCTCAGCCTCCTGAGTTCTGGGATTACAGGCGTGCACCGGCATGCCCAGTTTTAAAATAAGTTAAACTTGTGATGAGTGCTGCCATGTATGTAAGGGATGAATCTGCCCTTATCTGGAGTGTCAGGAGAGTGCTACCAAGGATATGAAATATTTATGAATGCGGAGGATCAAGGAGGCGGAAAAGGAGTTCACCGGGTAAACTTATGACCACGTGGCTTCGCAGCTGTGCCAGTGTGCAAGGGCAGTTATGTACATGTGGACGTATTTGAGACAGTAAGGTAGAGGGGCAGGACAAATACGGGAAGCTATGGAATTCTTGTAGACCACCTACAGAGGCGGCCTAGATAGGCAGTAAAAGGACCTGAGCAGTGCATCAGGAGGGAAAACACTGAGGATGGTGTTCAGGGGATCGGCAGTATTGACATGAATGCTGAAATCAGGAGCACAAATACCTTTTAACCAGCATTGGTGGAGATGGAAGTGTTGAGTGAAAATCATACTGGAGGAGGCTTTTGACTTATTCCATTGCTTTTGTACCTTCAGTGATGGCTTGCGAAAGGATTGGGTATGTGGCAGTTAAAAAATGGGGTGCCTATTAGAAGGGATTTTCAGGACCTTTGCTCTTTTCTAACTTTGTGTTATGCTTTTGTATCGTACTTTCACCTCTGAGTTTGCAAGATTCAGGTTTAGACCCAAATGTGATAAGGTTGTGCGACACAGGGCTTTTTTTCTTTCTTGAAAGATTGGTTCATGTCTTATTTTAGATTCTTAAAATGTTTTAGATTAATTGTTCAATTTATAGAGGACACCTATCATAGCCAAAATCCAGAGGTAAATAAATGTTCCTTGTCGGCCTCTAACCTAGCACTTGCTGGTTATGTGTCCTTTATTAAATTACTGAATTGCTTTGTATATCAAGAGTCTCATCCTCAAAGTTGGCTTCCTACTAAGCAGATTTGTGGTGAGAACTCAATGAAATAATCAAATAACTTTCATGGAACAGTGGCACTGAAGAAGAATGCAATGTTATGCTTTTTCAAAACAAAAATATCAAGTACTGTGAAACTGCATAATCAAATCCATTTTTTTTTTAGTTTAGTTTTTTGTTTTGGTAATAAGGAGAGTTCTAAAACATAATTTTCTATATTTTTTCCCTCCCTTTACAGAAATGAGGCATGTTCTAGCAGTGTTAGGGAGCTTGTGAGTAGATGTGAGTATTGTTGCTGGCTTAGACTCATTTAAAAATAAGTGACATCAGGACAAAAGTTTTATAGAAATATATCCAGTCTCTCAGATTCTGTTTTCATTCAGTCAAGAAATTATCCCTTACATTTTTTACACTTTTGTTCTCTTCTTCTTCATGCTACCTGTTTTCAGACCAAAGCATAAATAAGATCTACCAAAACTCAGAAGTCTTTAGCCAATAGACAGAGTACATAACCAGTCTGTTTTAATGGAGAATGAACAGATGCAAGCACAATAAATTTCTTAACTAATGTACGTTTAAAAATTTTATGACTTTGGCAATTAGGTACTATGGAATAAGAAGCTTACACAACACAGTCTTAATATTCACTTAGGTATTGCTGTTTAAGATCCTACTTGTTTATAAACATCTATATCCTGATAAGTTGAGTGCCATTGGTGCTGGGATATGGTTTTGTTCATGAGCTATTTTGCAGAAGTTTTTTTCTAGCATCACATGAACTTTGAAACAGTGGTGGCTATTGGCATTCTGTTTTCATTTCTCCATGGTTAATCAAATATCTGATGCTGTGAAGGATGTTCTATTTGGGAGCACCTTGGAGTTTTGTGCATGTGTGCTCTTTGTGTCCAGTCACCTCTTTACAGTTCTGTGGTTTTTCTGTTGTTTACAAGAGGCCGGGTTCCCTTTTTCAGTAGCATCCTGCTGTTTGGACAGCGTGATTGCATTTGCCTGTCCCATTCTGCTGTTGTAGAAAAAAGCCAGTTGCCATGGTGAGAATTACGATGCCCCACATCCAATGTAGGCCTGAGGTAGGGATGGCTTTGAAAAAACTACATGCAAATAGTTACTTTCAAATAAATATTTCAGGAAGCATTGGATAACAAGGGCTGTTACCTCTTCTATGACTCGTCAAATGAAAAGCCAGTGATCTATGATCTCTGTTTTGATTATGATAAACATACGGTGCTCTCTTTTTTACTCCTGTTGATCAAAAATCAGAATCCATTTGATATAATTTGACTGTGAACTTTAGTTATCTAAACATATTTACCTAGTCAATTTGTCTAATTGCCCAGATTTCCACCTCAGGGATGACTTTCTTGATAGGGTATTATTTTTAAGCTTTTGTTTTGTTTATTTATTGCTTTTTGGTAATGTAAAGAGGAACCAAGGCCTTTTGCACATACGAGTACATGTTCTTCCACCAAACCACGCCCCCAGCCCTCGCTGTTGGTTTCCTGTTGAGGCTCACCCTGAATGTGGAAGCGGTGTTGCATTTCTCTATGGATCTTGTGAAAGTGTCACAGAGTCTCCCTTGCAAGTTGGGATGGAGACTTTTTGGACAACTAGGGATATTCTGCAAACTGGAATTATTTCTAAGAATGTGTATCAAACATTAGCAAATGTTAAAGAATGTAGGTTTCTAACATTTTTTACTTGTAAATTTAAGTAAAATGAAAACTACTGTTAAAAGTCTTGTTTTCAGTTTCTTAGTCACAACTTTATGAAGCTCCTGACATGCCACTCTGAATGATATTATGAGCTGATATTAATTGCAGCTTGAAATAATCAGCAAAATAACAGTTTAACTAATTTAATAATTTTAATGATTAATTTAGATACATATACATTAGTTTCATCAGACAGCCTATTTATTGTTTGTTGCTTACTATATTTTCTTTACCTTGTATGATTTCTGTACTCTGAGTTTGACAAACACTGGAATCTTAGAGTTGTAAAATAAATGTGTAAATAAATTTTCACGAGTAAATACCCCTTACTCGTGAAAAAAGAAAAAGAGAAGAAACTGCACCTTGTCACATCGTGAGGCTTATGATGACTATGTTTGCTTTTCAGATCCGCAGCTCAAGGGTATAGTGACCAGGTTATATTGCAGGCAAGGCTACTACTTGCAAATGCACCCCGATGGAGCTCTCGATGGAACCAAGGATGACAGCACCAATTCCAGTAAGTGACATCCTCGGGCCACCCGTGAGCACAGCTGGGAGGGCAGACACTCTCACTGCCTTTTAAAGAGGCATTTGCAAATAATCATGTTGGTTCATTTTTACAAATCTTACATGTCAGGTTGCCACTCCCAAGGTCACTAAGACCAACAGGAGAAGACAGAATGCAGAGACAAAACTTGTGACTGTTGCATAATTATGTCAGTCTCTGAGGTTTTCACACAGTGTCAGACTCAGCAATTACCCTTGCTTTTAATCTCCTTATTGTAAAATCTAGTAAGTACACTAGTGTATTAAGTTGAAAACTGAGTAAGTTTCCTTCAGTTGTATTATTTTACTAGATTAGATTCTTAACAATACTGTGGAAATTCCTGAGCTATAAGAATTAATTTGTTTCAGATAAAAGAGTGCTGTATAATTTTTTTTAAAATTTGCATTCAAAATGGAAAACATCTTTCTTACATGGAGAAGATCAGAGCATATACTTCTGATTACATATATTCAAAATGTTTAGCTACTTTGCATAGTTGGGTCTGTGATACTTTATTAAAACTCTGTACAGCTTCCACATCAATAATGTCTGTCTTTATTATTTCTTCACATTTAACTTTTCTGATGCCCTCTTGTCCCTCCTAACTCAGCTGTTTCCTGTCACGTACTCTGTTTACGCTGCCATCTGATTTCTCCTAATTTAAGAGTAGTTCTAAAGTAGACATACCTTTTACTGGAGTCAGTGAAAAGCAATAAATAAATAAATAAATAAATTTATTAGAAATATTTTATCACAGGAAATAGTCCCAGTGTATCAGGAGTAGAGAAGAATGTTTCCATCCATTTAACATTTACTCTTTCACATAGAAAAGATCATTCCATAAAAAGAAGGGAGGATTTGAATATGTATAATAAAATTATAAGCACTTTGTTTTAAACTCTAATAATCAAGTTTTTAGAAGTAGATTTTGAAAGCTGTTAATATAATAGAGGCTATTTTTATGCTTGGTGTTTCTGCGTTAAAAAATCACAATGCTTCTAAACATGTTGTTTACTTTCCTTAGGTTTTACCATAGCTTCACTTTTTATTTTTCCTATATGTTCTCTTTGTTTCTTCTTTATCTACACTTTCCTTCTCTTCAATTTTGATTTCTACTATATTTCCCTTCTAATTTTTAAATGTTTCCTATTACTGATGCATTGATTTTTATTTTATTCTGTTTTCTTTTTATTTATGAAAATAGAAGAGCAAAATTCAAGCACAAAAGAGGAAGCCTTTTGCTCATAAGACCAGAGTCAAAGACTATTGGCTGTTGAGATTTTGTTGTAAGTTAGGCTTTTTTAAATGATCAGTGCATTACTATTTTTTACTGAGATATGCTGTCTTTTTTTTTTTTTTTAATCCTTTTAAAATCCTCTTTCAGTCTCTGACCAAAAGAGATTTTCCTTTCCTCATGTCTTACAGTTGTGGGACCTAGGAAATTTAGATTCCTAAGCTCTGATGTCTTCAATGCGCTCTGCTTATCAGTGGCTAGAATCTAATAGGCCACCGGAATGAGCTTCTCATAACTCTGCTCCCTGTAGGAACCGTGATGCTCTGAAAGACTGAGCAGATGAAAGTAACTTCGTCCATATTATGAAAAACATTTTCGAGAAGGAAATAAGCTCCAACAGTATAAAAATCATGCTTCATTGGGCTGCTTAGATCAAATATTTCCTTCAAACAAAAATTTTATATATTTTTTCTTAGCTTTTTTTGCAAGGGTGGGGGTGATGTAATTCTAAACAAATTGCTTATCTTTAATGTCGGGACTCAGTGTCACACTGAGAAGTGTGAAGTAGACCTTGTCTTTTAAGAGTGCATCTTCAGAAGTAACAAGCAGCAGCACAGACTTTCGTACACTACGAAAGTGCAGGTGTAGACAGCGCACGCACGCACACGCGCGCACACACACACACACACACACACACACACACACACACACAATTTGGTTCTTATTACCATAAAAACATTAGACACTGGAGTGGAGAGCTGAGATACGTAGTAATGTAAAGATACTCCACTTCTGATCTCTGAATACAGGGGGCTTTTTCCTCATGCCCTGTGTCTGCACAGGAAGGAGCCAGAATAACTGGGCAATTCTGGAAAGCCTCTCTCCCCTGTCCATGCTGGTGAGAGACAGTCCGAGGAAGATGGAAAGATGGAGGGACCTGCATAAGGGAGTAAATCAAAACCAAATCATGGCAACCACTCTAGGTCTTTAATTCCTGCTCAAAGATCTGACCCAATGCTTCATTTCTTGCACATGAATTTGTAGGTTATGTGCACTTCGACTCAGTTTTGTCACCATTTCAACAGCTGCAAGGATATGAAGAGGCTAAGATAAATGATTTTTGTCCAGAAGCCTGCACATATTGTATAATTATAAAATTTATTAGAAATTTCCAGAATTAAAGCAGATTTGTAAATGCAGGGGAAGTTACTAATTAACTCCACTTTTGTGTACTAGTACCTTTTTACACTGAATGCCATCATTTTTAAGGTGAACTTTAAGATTATTTTTCCTCATTGTTAATTGTGTTGGTCTTCAGGTTCTTAGTTTGGAGCACAAGTCCTTTTAGTACTAAAAAGTTATGCATTAGAAAAATCCTGATATTTCTGTAAAATTAGCAAATTTTTCTTAGAGAAGCATCTAAATAAAATTTAATGTACAGCCTTTTTGGTTTGAAATGAAGAGAAATAATCCATAAATATGCTTCCTTTTTTGTAAAAATTTTCTGAACACAAACCATCCATAAATAGGAGAAATAATGAGAAATAATTTAAAACTCCTCTATCACCCTAAGTCATCAAACAACAGAGTTGAAGATTAGAATTTCAAATCTTTGAGTTCAACATATGCCTCTGTTTTTTGTAATTTTTATTTTAAAGAGAATAAAATGAAGCAAAAATGAAACAATAAATTCAATCAAAACAAAATAGTGTGACACAGGACTTTGAAACCAGATAATAGGCAGTCAACAATGGTTACTATAATGCCTCCTGTCTTCAAAATAGCTGCCCATATCTTCAGATATAGTAAAAATCAAACAAAATAGAACCAGTAAAAATAAAACAATAAATACATTAAAGAGCTTCAAAACTAGATAAAAAAATTCCCACCAACTGTGGGGTTACTTAGAGAATCTGAAGCACCATACTAGTGTATCCTTGTGGAAAAGTTAAGGTGCATTGGAGGTGAGGCAGAAAGACCACTGATGGTTTCTAGGGTTGCAGCCCAAGGTCTAGAGATCCTTGCTAGGGAGAAAGGAAAATGGTAAGAAAACGATTGATGGTGGGTGACTGGCCCTATCGAGAAGCTACTTGGCTGCTTAGTGTTGGTTACCAGGAGTCCAGGAAAGCTCTTCATAAGCGAAGTGACATCAGTGAAGACCCCATCACCATAGGCACTTCCAGAGTTGCAGGAAGGCTTTTATAGTTCAACGGAATGCTAGCATTACTACCAACTACCACACTTTATTAGGACCTGGTTTTTTCCTTCCTTCTGATTTACTTTTGATAACATTTTTTCTTATGTTCTCAAACTTCACTCATTGTTCCTATTAACAGATTTAGTGGCTGCTGGAAGTAGGATAAACCTGTGGAGATCTCAATGCACTAATGATGCCTGTGACTTCGGTTTTAACAAGTCCTACTCACTGTACATGTGGTGAGCCTGGTGATCTAATTCATAATCCTTGTCCCACCACCCCACAGGCTTTAGGATCTCACTTCTTACCTGGATTGTATATTATTAGGCTTATTTTAGAAGCTTTTTAAAAGCTTTCTTACACCCTAAACTCACCTCCTGGGGATTCTGACCTGAAGCTAGGTTTGTCCATTTTATTTATGAATGTAAGCAGTTTTAATGATCAACCAGGATTGGGAATCTCTTTTCTGTGGAGACTAGAATATTCTGCAGAATAAACAAAGTTTTAGGAATGTCTTTATTATTCTTATTGTTCTAGGCTTGGTGCCATGCTTTCGAATTACACAAAATTCACAGAGAGCAGAAAAATGTAATGTCCTAATATACCTGTGGTTTTGACTCAAAGGACAAACTCATCCAGGTCAGCTCAGAAGGTCCTTCCCATTACAGTAGTTTTATGGATTATACTGTATTATCACAGTGACAATACTAGTGTGATTTTTATAATTCAGGTCTCTACAAAGATTTAATATACCTTTTAAATATGAGTACTTTAGACTAACTTCTAAAGACTCTATTTCTCATGCCACACCATTCTGGCAAGGTCATGATATGTTTGCCTTCTAGAAATATAGTATTCTGGTTGATCAAATCTATGGTGTCCACAGATGCCATTAGCCATGTATGAAGTTTAAATAATTAAGTTTGAATTGATTAGGTTACAATAGTTCAATAGACAGAAATATAATTATATTTTTATGTCAAAATTTTGCACATAAATCGGGAATTTTTCTATTGAACCCATCCTTTCTAAATACAAGGAAAACAATACTGTGCAGGCATTCTAGAACTTGGGTATAGATACTTTGAGATATTAGGAACAATAACACCTAACCATTGGACGAGACTGTGTAACTTTGTCCACCTTTTTAAGAGAAAACTTGCTAAACTGAAACATAACTTGTAGAGTCAGATTTTAATTATGGACTGAGTAGATTCTTAGGATGAAGTCAAAATTGCCCATATTACAAGACTTTTGTGGAATACAATTGAAAGCCTAAAGTTAGATATTTTACTTAAGTATTTACATAAAACATTAGTGCTTTTAATACCTGTTCTAGCCTGGTCCTATTGCTCATTATTAGATTTGAATTAAGAGGATCTTTAGTGAGAAAATATAAGCTTTCTGTCTATAATTAACAGTTCTCTTATATCAAAAATAAAATCTCCACATTAAGCAGCTATCACTCCAAATGATGGTCCAAAACTCATTAAGGGAATGTGTGTGTATCCTGGTATGAAAGGGCACTACCTGGATTTTAGTCTTTAAAAAATCAGTTATACCATTGCTATCTGCACTGTGTGAAAAATATATAAAAACAATTTATTAACAAAAGAAACAAAGAATGGAAATATAAATGGATTTTATCTTTTGGGGGGAAAACAACTTTCTTCTCCTTTTACTTTAACATGTATTCATGGTTTTATAAAATATTAATAAAGAAAATTGTGTCTCTGAAATTTACATGCCATTCCCTTGATTAGGTCTTTCTAAATTTAGCCTATGGGCAGGTGTGCACCTTTCCCTTGCCCTGTTTGCATGCCCTATCGGTTCTGCAAAGTAATTTAGTTTTGGAATTACCTTTTGCACTTCTGGCCCACACTGTACTTCAGGGGAAGATTGCACCTTCTGTATGAAAGATGAGAATAAGCACTGGACTCTTCTGCTTCTGCAAATCTTCACAGTTGGTTTCTTTGGGAGTCTTTGGGTGTCATGAGATTGTGATACTAGAACCATGACTGCAGCATTGGTTCTGTTTATTACCCTGGCACTTCTTAAGAAGGCTCTCAGCAAGATTGCTGAGAAGGTTTACAAATTAAAGGTGAGGTGTTAATTTTACACTTAGCAGAATCTTTCTTGTTATGAGGAAAAATAGAAGTTTTGTGGTTGGAACCTCTCACAAAGTAGCAATAAAGCTGGTGTTTCTGGAGGCAAAGCAATGGGAGAGGGAAAAGCTGTGGTGATGCTTGGCTGCTTCCTGCCTGTTCACCATGGGCCACATTTGTCTTCACAGCACTGTTCAACCTCATCCCAGTGGGACTGCGCGTCGTTGCCATCCAGGGGGTGAAGACAGGGTTGTACATAGCCATGAATGGAGAAGGTTACCTCTACCCATCAGTAAGTAACATGCCAGAGAGACTGGCCATGTGCTCCATGTCTGTCCTATAACAGCCACAGCAGTAAAAAACACCAGAAGGTTCCCCAGGCTCTGACATTTTGCTTCAGTGCTTGATCTTTATTTGAAAGCTGCAGGAGCTACTTGTTCATTATTCAACAACGTTTGGTAGTAATGAGTCCACTACAGGAAGAGAGTGCTATGTCTTCAACTGTACGTTTGCCATGTTTTACGAAGGGGCCCTGTTTATAGAAGATTGATCAGTTTGGAAACGATTAATGTGATGTAAATATAATCTCTTCTATTTCCACTTAGAAATGCACTCGTCTTAGAGAATTTCTTCTTGTGAATTATTTTTATCATTCTCATGCACTGTATATTAATTTCTTTTTAATTCATACAATACTTGTGAAAAATTATGGGTGCAACAGAATATTCTGATCAGTGAATGCATGGATCAAATACAACATATCAATCACCTTAGCAACATATTATTTTGCAATTAGAATGTTAAAAATCTATTCTTAAATAATTTTGGGATGCACAATACATTATTGTTAACTGTGGTTATTATGAACTGTGATGGATCACTGAAACTTATTTCTCCAGTCTCACTGAAAAATGTCACTTTTGATCACCATCTCTCTTTTGCCCATCAATTCCTCCCTACTCCCAAGCCTCTTGTAGTCTCTATATGAGTGGTATGTGCTTTCTTAGATTCAATACATAGGATTTGATCTCACTTATATGAGACATATAAAAACATTCATGTAAGGAGTCAACTTACATGAATTCTTAAAAAGTGAAAAAAAGAGAGTGCACATGCCTGTTAATATGTATTAGGGATTGGTTCAGGATACCCTGTGGGTACCAAAATCTGTGAGCACCAAGTCCTTTATGTAAAATGGCATAGTATTTCTGTACAACCTACCACAACCATCTTGTGTACTTTAATCATCTCTAGATTACTTAGAATACCTAACACGATCTGAGTGATGTATAAATAGTTGTTATAGTACATTGTTCAGGACGTAATGACCAAATGGAAACTCTGTATGTGTCCCATGCAGCAGTACATTTTAAAATGCTTTTGATCTGGTTGTTTGAATCCACATATCCTGAGCCTGTGGGTAGAAAAGGCTGAGTTTATGTAGTTTTAAAATGATCATGGAAATGGTGCAAGTATTATACTGGAAAAATAAAAATTTCTAATTTTGAAATGTGTTCATCCAAATCTAAGCCAAGTCTGTTTGGTGTTAATATTTTCTAAGAGTTAAGCATTTCTCTATCCATATAGGTGCCCTGGAGTATTATCTATTTCCTAATAATTTTCAGTAGATGTGCTATATCCATGCATTATCATAGTTAGAATTTATTTCTATTGCAGCTCTAAGCAATAAAGCCTTAAATGAAGGTGCATCTTTCTACTATTTTTGAGGCTGTCAGCGGATTACAGTCTTAAATATTTTAGAATGTACTTTATTATATTTGCATATCACTTTTATATTAAGTATTTAAAACTCTGCTCTTAATTAAATAGTGCCAAAATCTATATCTAAGCATGCACACCCAAATAAATACCCAAAGCAGAACATTCTCAGGAAGCCTTCCATGAAATGCAAGCTATTTCCTCAGTAACCTGGGAAACCCTGTTAGAGAGAAATGAGATGCCAGCTGTGGATTCCCTCCTCAGTGTGCTGAGAAAGCACAGGCTGCCCTGAGTCTCCAGCCCTTATCTAAGGTCGCTGAAGGGCATCCTGCTCACAGAACCGGGTCTTCCTTTATGCAAATTGGCTGCCGCTCTGTTGTGGACCAGGCACACTGAGCAGATCAAGCTAGAATATCCCATGCTCTGGGTTTCAAAACACTAGTCAAATAGAGATCATCTTCCAGAGATGACTCATTCAGATAGAAAGCAATTTTATTGATTTGACATTTGTTTGGTTATTTCAGTTTTTTTATCTCATCCCCCAAGTAATCTTCGTGAGGTGAACAATCACCAGGTGCTGCAGTATCTGCAGTGGTCTCTGCTTCTGCCTTTCTGCTGATAATTTTATGAGCAGGTTGTGCTCTGAGATCTATGCTGTTGTTTTCAGACAGCATTTATATTTGTTTCATCTGTTTTGCTACTGAGGGACATTTTAAAAAACATTTCACAGTGTGATTTGTAAATGTAAGCTGTGCTTCTTTAAAAGTAGGGTGTCTTCTTTAAAAGTCTGGTTATTTTAAAATCTAAACTGTGTGGTTCTACAGGCCCGGTGCAAACCCTAGCTCTTTGTTCATGGCCTTCCTTCTCAGAACGAGACCCCACAAAGGACACACCCTAGGACAAGCTGCAGGTTTCTTTACCTGCTGAATTTTCTTCTACTGGTTCTCCTGATACTTGCTTAGCTTCTGGGCTTTCTGGGGCAGGGATGATTCTTTGACTTACAAATCTCAGTATCTCTGAGCCATGTACCTAGGGTCTATTCCCAACAGAAGGGTCCTCATCATCCTGCATCGTCCTGCAGGGAAAGGATTTACTTGAAAAATAAAACCAATGTCAAATCTTTATGAATATTACAGACAGTACTTTGTTTATAACATTGCAATAAAATTTGAACTTCAAGTTTTTTCTGTTTGAAGAATTTTTCCACAATTATAGAGTTTCTGAAAATAACAATATAGAACACAATGTAAACTTATTGTTTATAATATAATAGCTACACTTATACAGTAATAATTACAGTAGTATTTGTCCACTTTGCCTAGCACTGTTTCTAGGAAGTTAGCTCATTTAGTTCTCCAAGCAACTTCTTTATATAGCAAATACAATTAAAATAAGAATAGTAATGTACAAACACTATTAGAATCTGTTTGAAGTCATTCAGGCAGCAAAAAAAAAAAAAAAAGCAGTATGTGAGTATTGCTAGTCTGACTCATTAGTTTACATTTTTAACGGTTTTACTATACTGTTTTCATGCGCCAGACATTTTTCATAACATAGTCTCACACCTATCTTAACACGAAGCTATAAACTCATGATGATGTAATTAAAACCTTTCTGAAATAGTTACCTAAAAAATACACTTCAGGGCCAGAAATTCTCATTTGAAACATAATCTGTTATGTTTGGGAATTTTTGAATAATAAATTAACATGTGTTGGGGAAGTGCTGGATAACAAATAGTGAGTATGTAATATTCTGAACTTCATTACATTCACCGTTTGAGCTTTATGTTTTAAAACCAACATTGCTAATCCAGTTTAAAACATCTTAATTAGGTATAGTTTTAAAAATGACTATTATAGTCAAGTTCAGATTTAAAGAAAAAAGAAAGATTTAATTTGTTAAATGAAATAAATCTATGTTAAGATTATGCTAACTTTAAAGAAAAAATGTTCATGCAGTGCATACTAGTGTGTAATGTGGAACTGATTTTGTAGCAGATCTGTAGACCTAGTATTTGGGAATAAAATAGTCATTCAAAGATAATTCCCTTCAATAAAATTATTCTGTGGGTAGAACTCAATGTAATTATTTCTCTGTCTTTCAGGAAGTGGCCCGTAGTGATCTGCTATCCAAATAAAGATATTCCATGTGTCAGATAATCCCACCTTAGAGGGAAAACACACTATCTTGCCTGAGATGTCAATAACCACAATTACATTGCTAAAGGCACTTGTTCCCTGGGGAATTTTTTTTACCTCGCAATGACAATAATTGTTTCTTTTTTGGTTGTAATAGTTGTAATATGTTACTTGATATGTGTCTGAAAAATTTAATCTCATATATAGGCCATTTTCTTCAAGGCATAGTGGAAACTCCAAGGGCATAAAACAGAACCAACAAAAAAATATTGGTTCAATATTTACACATTTAAAAATGATTATTTTAGGAAAAAAGTACATTTTTACCAACTATAAACTATGACTAGTGCTGAAGGCTAAAGTAAATTTTTTATTGCATTGTTTTTCAAATAAACCCATGACTTTGAAAGACTAAGACAAATCTCTATAGAAAAGCTAAGATTTGGAAAGATAATTCTAAATACTGAAAAGAAATTTAGAACTAAAGGAAAATATCATTTATCATCTAGGCAGTGATAAGAAATAGGTAAAATCAGAAAGTCTTTCTGTAAAGAAAATAAAAAGGGGGATGGAAAGAAGGAAGAGACAGGAGAGAGAAGGAAGAAGTGGAGGCAGGAAAGGAGGAAGGAAGGAAGGAAGGAAGGAAGGAAGGAAGGAAGGAAGGAAGGAAGGGAACAGTCTGGTGGAAAGTCCAGAAATCAAATTAATAAATTATTACCCCCAGCCCACTGGTGATTCTAAAGTTAAGTTGATATTCCAACAATCCACACTGCATAAACATTGCAAAGGACCACGGCAGTAATGATGATAACTCTAGACCACCGGGGTGGAGACACAGCTAGTAAGAATGGGTGAAAAACTTTGGAGTGAAGCGCAAAGAGGAATTGTCTACAATACACAGTGGCCATCTGAATATGGAGATGATGGAGTGGTGGCTCTCACCAATATGACTGCCAACCTGCCTGTCACTGACAAAATACCCAACACCCACAACTGAAAGGAGGAGAGGATAAATTTGACTCATAGTTTTGGGGGATTCAATCCATGGTCAGCTGACTCTAAGGCAGAAATGCCACAGTAGGAGGGGTGCTCTAATAAAATTGCTCACTTATGGTAGCAAGATGAGAGAGAAGAAGGGAGCCTGGGAAGAAATTGTACTCTCTGAAGCCACATCCCCAGTGACATACCTATGCTGGTCAGGCCTGGCCATCTAACAGCAGGTTAAGCTGCATATTCATCAATGGATTAATCCACTGATGTACCCAGCTGCCACGATCCAGTCAGCATGTGAGAGCCCCACCTCTGAGTACATGAGACTTTTAGGGGGCATCCTAGACCTAACCTATAACAGATTGGCTCAGAACATGGTTGACTATGGGCTGTGATGTTTTTAATGAGGAAACACAACTCAGGAGAAACGAAGAGGAGGAAG